GTGTGTGTGTGTGTGTGTGTGTGTGTGTGTGTGTGTGTGTGTGTGTGCGTACGTGTGTGTGTGTGTGTCAGAGTAAAGCCAGGCGTTAGTCACGCTTGGTGAGATATGAAAGAGCAGGGGATCCTCTGCCGTAAGGGACTACTCTCGCACACAGACACACACGTGCCTTCATCTCTTCTCTCATGTCTTTTCATCACGCTCCTTCTCAAAGCAAAAATTCTGACTTTCTGAAAACTGTAGTATCTTAAATTAAAATTTGAGATCAACAGAAAGCTAATGTTCTTTAAATAACTAAAAATTTGATTGGAAGAACTAATAGGAAATTCATTATTTGAAAGAAGAAGCCTAAAACAACGAAAAAAAGGCATCCATCTAAATCAAAGTTATTCTAAATTGAAATATCTTCAATACATCTAAAACATGTAATCTAACAGTGTAAATATGTTAAATCTGTAAAGATGTGAGAAGGAGAAAACCCTTAACCGACTTCTCCAGGGCTTCCGTTAGTAAAGTCTCTTCAGTAAAAATAAACAGACCTGAGCAGAAATAGAGGAACAGATTCATCTATTTTGAATGTGTTGAGATGTCTGACCTAGTTAAGGTGTGTTTGATTTATCTTCTCAGTCACTTATATGTACTCAGCAATGGACACATTACTGGCAAGGTAAAAATGAATGTAGCTCACCCTCATGTTCATAAAATGTACTCTCCTCTCCCCTCTATGCACTGTGTGTGTTGAAACTGTCTGCTATGCTGCTCTCTCTTGTTGTAACTTACAGTACTTTCACATGTGATTTGAATCAAACTTTATGTTTTCTGCGTCAGTGACTGCTTACCCTACAGGTTCAGTATCCTTTGGATTTGATCAATTCTGATTACAATTCAGCTAATCAACTCCAGTAAAGGCATAAAACGTAAGTGAGAGAAGAAACCAAAATACTCTGGTAGAAAAAAAGCATCGTTACTATTGCCATGAACTGTCATTTTGTCATTAACTGCAATGTAATTTGTGATTCTTTTAATTCAAAGGAAAATTAAAGAGAAAAATATGAATATTCTTCATCTTGCCAAACATGCATTTCTTCTGAGACCTGCAGAATCGCCGGCAATCCGAAATCTGTGTAACAGATGGTTTTAAACCAAGAATTGCTGCAACAACATATGAGGCATAATAGAGCACGGAGACTGCCATTGGGGATGGCCATTATATACTGTACTTCCATCATAACGTTTTCACAATATATTTTAATTAGTTGATTAATTCATTGGTTTTTATTTCTGATTCATGACTAGAACAGCTTGATAGACACTACTGAGCTTCATCTCAAATTATTTTTCAGGTAACCAGATTCAGATGATGTGGATGCCACTTCATATACTGTTGGCATATCTGCCCCCAAAGATCCCCTGCCCTTCCTAGAAAAGACAAAAAAGGTCGATGTGGATGAAATCTGTACATACCCAACCCTTCATCTTGCGCAGTAACTCTTAAGGGTAAATGAATTCCTCCTCTAATTGGGTAAAATAGACTTCAAGTCAAGACAGTTGGATGTGCGTAACACTAACACAAACACCTCGTTACATATTGTATATGACACTGTACTTTCTCCAGGAGTCCCGTCTGCTGACTCAACACTAGAAGGGCATAGAGACATCCTCAAGAGAGTTCAGCATGCTGCAGCAGAACTTTACCCGACTGGCCAATTTGTGTGGAAGAGTGATAAAATGTAAACAAAATGTGATGTCCAGTAAATTTAGCAAACTGTTATGGACACTGAACTACTTTCCTTGATGACAGTTCATCTAAACTAGTTTAGTTACACCAGCATCATTATAAATTGATGCAGATGTTTGTTCAAAGGTAAGCGATTGGCTGCTAATTCCATGTAAATTAACAATGGGTCTATGTTTACATCGCACTATTTTGTCACAAAATTTGTTTTAAATATTCCAAGCAAGGCATGAACAAAAATATGCAGCCAAATGTGAACCAATTACACATACTGTGGTGAATCAAGTTAAGTATTGCATCAACCCAACCCAAGCGTCAACCCAAGCCATTCCTGATGTATGGATATACAGAATACAGAGCAGTGGTGACCAACACGACCATCCATCTGCACAATAAAGCCCTGAGCAACTTCTTATTATCCTCAGGACACACTCTGCCGTTACCCTCTCCAGCTATACTTGTAGAGGACAAAATCTCTCTCTCTCTCTCTCTCTGTCGCTTCAGCCTAACAGTTGTCTCTCGGCCTGCCTCCATCTACCGGGCTGTCATGGTGAGGTGATCTAATAGGACAGAAGTGAGGTCTATACACTTTATTATGCTGAACTGGACAACAGCATACCAATGCATGCTCAGATACACGCAGTCCAATGTTGGATCTTCTTATATCACGGTACTGTCAGTGAATTTGTTCTTACACCAGCCTCTCTAGTATAAGGGTTATAGGTTAGCAGTCAAACAAGTTTAAATAGCCATTTATGAAGCCCTCTGTTGGGTTAGCTGTGTGTTTAATGGCGATTCAAAGATGCAGCACAGTGGGTACCAACAGTTCCGCCACATCAAAGGCACAGTTCCTTAAGCGCTCGGGTGGAAATTTAATATTTCATGTGTTGATTCTCCGCTCAACAGTTCAGAGTACTTTGCAAGATGATGATTGCCAATTTTAGCCGAAGCTCATTCACTAAGCATGGCCTGGTGTTGCGTAATTTGTGAGTATATTCGTAAGGGATGTGGTGATTGTAATTTAATAATGGGTTAGAAATGCCAAAGATCTGTCAAGAGGCTACAGTTTTCACATTCATAATAGAATAGCCAGGGAGGGAGGCGGATGTGCAGAGGAATGTTATTTTTATTTAATTTTTTTTTTTTAACAGGGTTATTACAAAATAACTACTGTATGTACAATGCAGAGATTCCAACAGAGCTAAACTTTCACAACTTCGGACTGTGGGAAGAAAAGAAGAGCACCAACGGCAAACACAGGACGAATATGCAAACTCCCCAACTGCCCGCGGAGTCTAAAACAGTGCTACACTATTCAGTGCACCACTGCCATCAATAATTCTACACAGCTAACTTGCATATGACATGCATAAAAAAACAAATACAGGGATACTCTGACTGAATATTAAACCTCAATACTTTTTTGGTACCATAAGATTGTCAGCTAATAACAATGACCTTGAATTCCTGCTATATACTGTATATATATTAAGTTTTTGAAAAGTTTCCACTTTAACATAAAGTTACTGAATTCAATTTGTGGTATACATACAAAAGATTTAAATAACTTAAATAACTTGTATAGGTGAATTCAAATGAATGAAGCATCAGATAACATAGTTGTAGCAAAGGGGCTTACAATAAAGATGTACAGCAGAACACAAACACCTCTCTCTCTCTCTCTCTCTCTCTCTCTCTCTCTCTCTCTCTCTCTCTCTCTCTCTCTCTCTCTCTACAAGTTTGGTCATTACCTCTTTCCCTCTCTCTATCAGCACATTTTGCCTTAGTCAGTGTCTCTCTCGCTCTCTCGCTCTCTCTCTCTCTCACTCTCACTCACACACACACACACACACACACACACACACACACACACACACACACACACACACAGCTTTCTACCTACCTTGCATCCAAACATCAGAGATATGGTGTTGTTGGTGCATGCTACTTTGCAGTGGCACAACATGTGGCTAACGTTAGCTAGCTGGTCCCGCGCTGGGGGGGCATCCTAGTCCTCATACACACATTTCACACTCACACACATCCACACACGCACACATGCACATGTACATGCATGCGTTCTGTCAACCACGCTCCATCCCACAATCCCCCCACTCTGCCGGACCTCCCCCCCCCCCCCCCCACCCCCACCACCTCCACCACCACCACCACCACCGCCTGGCTACGGTCCTCAGCTGTGGCAGGCCGGCGTCCTCTCCCTCGCACTCTTTACTGCTCTCATCTTCATCATCATCTTCATCTGTGTAATCCTCATTGCTGGTCAGGATGCAGGGAGCAACATGGTCCACTGTCTACGTGTGCGTCAGTGTGTCTTTGGATCCGTCAGCACATGTGTTTGTGTTTTCAGAGTGTTGTTGTTGTCAGAATGTATGGGTCAGTCTGTCTGTGCGTGTGTGTGTGTGCGTGAATGTGTGTATGTGTGCGCGCGCAAGTGTGTGCATGTGTGTGTGTCAGTATGGATATGGTCTCTCTTGTCCTCCTCTGTAGCAGTAGTCCCAGTCCTCTATCTCCTCTCTCTCTATCTGTATGAGTGTGCCTCTCTCGTTCCATCGCTCCCCTTCTCTCTCTCTCTCTCTCTCTCTCTCTCTCTCTCTCTCTCTCTCTCT